CGAGAGGAGAATGCAGGAGAAGGGATTGCAACATGGCCATCCCCCCTGGGGGGTGATTTCTCGCTTTCTGTCTCTCTGTCTCTCTCTGTCTGGCGAGCACACGCGCCCTACAGCAACAAAAAAAATCAAAAAAGAATGACTATTGGGGCCAGCAGGTGGCATGATGGTTAAGGGTGCTGAACTCCCATGTGGCTGACCGAAGTTTGAGTCCGGACCTGGAGGCTTGCTTTCTCTCTCTCTCTCTCTCTCTCTCTCTCTCTTTCACTCACTCACTCACTCACTCACTCACTCTGTCCCTCTCTGGTCAAATTAAAAAATAAGTAAATAAAGTTAAATAATTATTTAAGAAAAAAAGAATGACCATTAATATTTTAGGTGTGCAATGTGGTAGCCACATGTTGCTATTTATATTTAAATCAATTAAAAATTTCAAAATTAAATGCAGTTCCTCAGGTCATACCAGCAGTATTTGCTCTGTTCAATACCCACGTGTGGCCAGGAGCTACACAGGACAGCAGACCCAGCACGTTCCCATCACTGCAGAGAACTATGAGAGAACACTGCTCTAGAGAAACACGCTGAAATACTTACAGATAAAAGTATACGGAGTCTGGGTGGGGAAACAGAGGGAGGTAGGATGGAAGAAGCCAGGCCAACCACTAGTTTTTTAAAGCCAAGTAGAAGACAGGTATACAGGACTTCATTAATTAAGCTTTACTCTTTATTTTTGTATATGTTTGAACATTTGATTTCCATACTAAAAAGTTTTTTAAAAAGAAAAATCGGTAAAAGTGGTTGACTTAAAAAATGAGGTTATAGAGCCAGTAGGTCATGGTGGTTAAAGTGCTGGACTCCCACGTGGCTGACCACAGCTCAAGTCCTGGACCTAGCAGCTTGAAAATCATGCCAGGTGTGTGTGCCTGTGCACCCAAAGTCCCCAGAGGAGAATGGAGGAGGAGGGCTTGTGGCATGGCCATCCCCCTCATGGGGAAGGATTTCTCACTTTCCCTCTGTCTGTCTCTCTACAGCAAGTGCATACACCCTAATAGCAAAAAGTCTTTAAAAAAAAAAAAAAAAAAAGAGGCTATCAGGAGGGCCAGGCAGTGGTGCAAAGTAATGTAACTGGACCCATGTGGGAAAGGTCCTGAGTCCGAGTCCCACCACCTCACTGGGCATGCCAAGTGCATGTTTGCCTATGATCCAGGATGGTCGAGACTGGGGTGTTTGATCATAGTTTGAAGACCCTGTTGGGGTCCCTGTCTCTCCCTCTCGGTCTCTCATTCTCTCTCTCACACATGGAAGAAATAAATTGATAAAAATTCTAAAAACTTTTAATGAGGGCCAATAGGTGGCATAGATGTTAAAGCAGCTGGATCCACACGCCCAAATCAGCGGTTCACATCCTGGACCCTGCAGTTTGAAAATCACACTGGGCAGGGGCCGGCAGATGGCGTGGTGATTAAGGGTGCTGGACTTCCACATGGCCAACCGTGGTTTGAGTCTTAGACCTGGAGGCTTGCTCACTCTCTCTCTCTCTCTCTCTCTCCTCTCTCTCTCTCTCTCTCTTTCTCACTCTGTTTCTCTCTGGTCAAATGAAAATAAATAAATAAAGTTAAATAAAATAATTCTAAAAAAAAAGAAAGAAAGAAAGAAAGAAAGAAAGAAAGAAAATCACACTGGGCGAGTGTGTGTGTTTACCCAAAATCCCAAGAAAGGATTACAGCATGGCCATTTCCCCCTACCGGGGAGGTGGGGTAATTTCTGACTTTTTCTCTCTGGCCGGTGGACAAATATTATAGCAAAAAAGTAAAAAGAGGTTATAGGGCCCAGCCACAATGGCACAAGCTAGGGCACTGCTGCATGAAGTTGGGGCTACATGGGAGGCCAAGGTTTAGTTGCCAACCCAACCTCAACGGGCTGGTACATGTGCCTATAATCCCACCTACCTGGGATGCTGGAGCAGGAGGATCACATATCTCGCTCCAAACAACCCTTTCTCCCTCTTTCTCTCATTAAAATAATAATAATAATAATAATAATAAAATAATAAATCAGTCTGTGATGTGGGGATTAAGGCAGCTGGATCCCACATGGCTGACTGCAATGGTGTGAGTCCAGGACCAGGCAGCATGAAATATACACTGGACATGTATGCATGCATGCATGCCCAAAATCCCCATAGGAGGGAGAAATGGAGAAGGGACTGCAGCATGACCATGCTCTATGGGAAGCGGGAGCTTTCTCACTTATCTTTCTCTTGCCCTTTGGTCAATTTTTTTAAATAACAAAGAAAAATAAATTAGGTTATCATATTAAAGGTTATACTTCTGGGGGCCAGCAGGTGGCAGGGTGGTAAAAGGCACTGGATTCCCACATGACTGACCACAGCTGGAGACCTGGACCTGGCAGGACTGCTTTCTTGCTTTCCTTTTCTCTCTCTCTCTCTCTCTCTGGTCAAATTAAAAAATAATAATAATAATAAATGGAATTAAATAAATCTCTTTAAAAGATGGAAAACAAGAAGAAAAAAAGGATTATACCATTAATGGCAGCTCAGGTAAGATATATCTTGAATCATGCAGATTAGAATTCAAATCCTTACTCACAGATCTGCAACGTGACCCTTAACAAAAACTTGACTACTCTGAGACTTAGTCCTCAACTGTAAAATGAAAAATACAGACCAGCAGATGGCGTGACGGTTATGTCACTGGACTCCCATGTAGTCAACGGCAGTTCAAGTCCTAGACCTGGAGACTTAAAACTCGCGCTAGGCACAAGTGATCTCTCCAAGATCCGGAGAGGAGAGTGGAGGAGAAAGGATTGCAGTGTGGCCATCCTCCCGGTGGGTGATTTCCCACTTTATGTCTCTCCACCAAATGCACATGCCTTATAGCAAAAAAACTCTCAAAAAAAGAAAAGAAAAAAGATAGGAAATACAATGCCTGCTTGCAGAGTTGTTCTGGAAACCAGAAATAATTATTTCAAAGCAAGAATGCAATACCTAACACACAGTAGGCCCACAGTACAGCAGTGTTTGTTTAGAGCACTTGGCTACGATGCAGAATAGTAACTCGCGTAGAGGTACTGTCAGAGCAGGAAGGATAAAGACTGACCAGAAGGCTGCTGTGCTAGGGAGGCAGGAACTGCCAAGCTCCCGAGTACTGACAGAGAAGTCCTTTCGTGGCTGCCTCTCGTAACCTCTGCAGTGCCTACTACACAGCAGGTGCTGCGCTGACTGCATGCTCACCTCTCACGACAAGGAGGAACCACCCGAGGCTCAGGGAAAATATTCCCAAACTGGGAATCCAGGAGCTGTTCATCCAGAACTGGTCTTACTCACAAGAGCCTCTATTTGTCTACTTTCACCTCTAGCCGAGTCTCCCTGTTTCCCACACGAGCCCTTAGTACCTGCCAGCTGTCCTGCAAACACCAGAGACCTTCTAGCCTTGGTATGTGTTGTTCTCTAGAATAAAAAGGGCAGGGCTTGCCAGGGCCAGCAGGTGGCATGGTGGTTAAGGTGCTGGACTATCAAATGGCCGACCGAGTCCTGAACCTGGTGGCTTGAACAGCACTCCAGGTGTGTGAGTGCATGCCTAGAAACCCAGCAGGAGAATGGAGAAGTGGGGACTGCAGCACGGCCATCCCCCCTGGTGGGAGGAGGGGGATGATCTCTCACTTTCTCTGGCAAGTACACACACCCTTAAAAACAAAACCTTTGGGGGGAAGACTTGCCCTCTTCTTTCCTTCCCATCTTTCATGACTTGATGTTGTAAACCCTTCCTTGAAGATACTTCCTTTCTCTAAAATTAGACTACATTTCGTCTCGGGAGCACACCACTGTGTGTCTGATCATCTACACTTCTGATAAATCCATGTCGGTTTGCCTCCACAGGGAACACTGTATCGTCCAGGAGGCCGAGATCACTCATTGCACTTTTTGTGTCTTCCCTAGTGCCTGGCACAGTGCTGGAAACTGTAACCATTCAACCAATACTTATTGACTGAGGGGCTGTCTAAAGCATCTTCCCAAAATAACAAGTACATTATGTGCACAATCCATATTCCCACCCTTGTTAGAAGCTTATGTCAAGAGAAATTTCAGTTGCTTCAACAGAGGCTGTAATGCAGAGCAATATGCTGTTTGGATCCAACAGGCATATTCTGGGAGTTGGTGATTACGCTAGATTTGACCTTTACAAAATTGCAGAAAGGAGTCCCTAATAAATCAAGATAGATGCGCACACAGCCATACATGGAACATGTGGTGGGCGATCGGTTTACACCCACTCCAGTTCTTCTACAGAAGAGTTGGCTGGGATGCCAATTTGAGCAGGGAGAGGGTTTCTTTCCATGAAATTCTTCCCAGCCCCAAGGTGAATGTCCACCTGGAAGATCCACTCAAAAAATCTTAACAACTAATGTGCTTCCCCACAACATGTATCCATAAAAAAAAGGTGATCTTTGACATATAAATACACACACACACACAATTTCTTCTTTTCCCTTTGTCAAGCTGCAGTGTTCCAAAAGCTACAGGTTGAGAGGTGAACACCGCTGTCCAAAGCAATACGATCCAAGTGGCCTGTACTGGGCAGGAATATTGTATACTACTTACTCCTAGGCATCCTGGACTATTACCTTGTCTCACAGGAACTAGACTTACACATACCATCCTTCAAAAATGCCAAAAGAGAGGCTAAGAAAGTCAACAGGTTCTGCGTCCCATGCCTCTCTCACCTGCCGCATGCCCTCCTCTCAAGGCCAAAGTCAGAGCCTCGGGTTTAGCCGGAAATAGAGCTGGCACAATCAGCTGACTCACACGCAGGCCCTATCCTATCTCTGCCATCACAGCGAGATTTTCCAAGATGCAGCAGGGAGATAGGAACCAAATGCGTGGGTCCCAGACACTCCAGATACAGCCACATCTACAGGGCTGAAGGGAGAGATACAGGAGAAAAGCATGGGGTGCAGGAGAGCACAAGAAAGCTGCTGCTCACCTCCTGAGTGAGTCTTCCTCGGAACTTTCCTCAGGCATGTCTTGATGTAAGGCCTCCTGTGATACAGTTCCAGATCTGCTGGACTGGGTGTAAATTCTTTCCCAGTGGCCTGTCTCCTGATTAAAGGCCACCCCCACAGTCCTCTCCTCCTGCGGACTAGCGGAGCTGCTCAACTCCAGCCTGCTGGAGCTAGGTGTCTGGCCCTCAGTCCGCTCAAGAGGTGGCAACTGGCTGCCACTTGACGGCATGCCCTCGAAGGTACTGGGGACCTGCCAGGAGGAGCTGGCCTCGCCAGAGGAGTAGTTAGATGTGGTTCGTTCCCAGCGCAAGGTATCATTGTTGAAGGTCAGGAGATTGTGGCAAGCACGGCAGCGATTCAGGTGGCCACGGGACAGGTTGGAGTTGTTCTCGCTGCTGTGTGGGGTGGGCTGGTGGGAAGGGCCTGGCCTCTCAGATTCAATGTTATTGTTGAGCATCTCCTGGGCCTGCTGGGTCTGGGGTGCTTCCCCACTCAGGCTCTGATCCAGCTCCTGAAGCCGGTCATACTCCAGAAAGAAGCGTCTCAAGTCACACTGAAGCTCGTGGCGAATGCTGCCTGAGTTATTCTGGCTGGAGGCATTCCCCCCTTCTGACTCAGTCGCCAACCCAGATGCCGGAAAGCCCCTGCCTTCTGTGGCTGAGGTGTAGACAGATGCCTGAGAGCCACCTTCCTGCTGTCTCAGCACAGACAGCAGGCTCACCGAAGAGGCACTGGTCCTGGGCGGGGGCATGGCCTCCGCCTCAGAGCGGGCATTCAGGCTGAGGACTGTCCGGGTCCACTCAGAGCCTGTCAGTCCAGGAGCTATTTCTCGGTGATACCGAGATGGGTGGCTAGACAGAGGGCCTCCCAGAGAGCGCCGGGTGGGGCCCAGGCTGAGGTTGCGGAGCGTGTTGCCGGCAGTGCTGCTCTGGACTGTGCTGAAGGCAGACGGCCGGTTCAAGAGGCCCTGGTCCTGCTGCGCTGACGAGGCCTGCTCCGGGGGGTGGAAGGGCTCGGTCTGTACAAAAGAAAAGGAAGGGGTAGTAGCCCTGGCAGAAGCAGGGGGGACACTGTCCTGGTGTGGCAAGAGGGAAGGAACACGAGTGCCAGAGCAGCGGCTGCAAAGGCACAGGATCCCAAGGTGCTGGCAGCACTCGGCTGTGGGGTAACTGACCCGCTGTCGGAGCCTGATGTACGCGGAAGTCCTGGGGCGCTCCGTGGAGGGCTGAGGGGGAGGCGGTGGGGGTGAGGGGGTGGCAGAATCTTGCACTGTGCTTTGCTCTCCCACCTGGATGCCAGAGGAACGAGAGGACAGCATGTGCAGGAAATTGTGGAGGAGAGGCGTCCGGCGGACTGGCTGTGATTGCAGGAGGGCACGCTGACGGTAGTGGGGTAATTCTGTTCCATCTATGGGGATCTCTGGTTCGTCATCGCCCTGCAACGTGGACCAGCAGGAGGCAGGGGGCAGAGCAAGGCAGTTAGGCAGAAGGTTCAAGCAAATCAGGAAAAACTAACTACTGATCATCAGCCAAGATAAACAACCTTCACAAATAGGCAGCAACTCTCCACCCCTGAACCCCTGAGAAACAACTGGCTTCAGACTGAGAAACATCATCTGGTATTCAATTATTTACTTTCAATTAGCAGCGTATCTGAATGAGTACAGCTGGCGAACCGATTCTCTTACAAAAGGTATCTCCATGCAATGGAGGCAGTGCAGTAAGGGGAGGCAAAATGTCAACCAGCCAGTGACAAGCTGTCCAACACTGCTTCATCGCGACAAGGGTTACTTTTAATGAGGTGATCGATCACTTGAGGGTTTCAGAACTGACATGCCTGTCAAGATGATGGCTGAATATATAGTCTGAAATTAGTTTTAAATTTTGTCTGAAATAAATACTTGGGTGTTGAAAATTAAAATCCAATATAATCAGAATTAGAATACTAGCTTAGAAAATAATCCACAGTTTGGATGGAGTTGGAACTGGTGGATTTCTTTCTTTTTTTTTTTTTTTTGAGAGATTTTCACTGTAGGGCGCGTGCACTCGCCAGACCGACAGAGAGAGACATAGAGACAGAAAGCGAGAAATCACCCCCCAGGGGGGATGGTCACGCCACAATCCCTTCTCCTCCATTCTCCTCTCGGGATCTTGGGCACGCACGC